AACAGGCTCCAGGTACAGGTGTGGGCAGGGTTAAGATGGTGAGGAGACAGCCCCAGGGTTCCTGAGGAGCCAGGCTCTGGACTGCCCGCAGTCTGAGGTTACTCTTCCATTTTCACCCAGGGTTGGGTAGTAAACCCAGGGGTCCTCCAGGGTCAGCCCTGCTAGCTGCACAAGGGGCAGGGCCCTCGAGACAGCCCCAGGGAATAGAGGGGAGTTCTGAGGTGGTGGAGAGAGCAGCATTGGGAGCTCCCAGCCAACCCCGTTTGCCTTGATGTGCCCCGTGCCAGGGCTTGCCTGGCCTGTGCGAGCTCTCATGGTCTGGACTCCCCACACACTGAGGACAGGTGCACACACTGGCTTTGGTAGCCAGCACCAGTTTAGCGAGTTCCTCCGCATCTTAGTTTGCTGAGGTCAGAGAGAGATGCTGGCCTGTAGCCAGTAGCCTAGGAGTGGGTGGCTGCCCACAGCCTGGTCTGAAAGCAGTTGAAGCAGGCCTCAGCTGCCTTTGCTGAAAGTGTGGCATGTGTAGGGGTCTGGCTGGACTAAGGATGTTTCTCTGGGAGTGCCGGCCCCTCTGGCAATCTTTGGAGTTTCTTGGCTTATAGAAGCGTCACCCTGGTTTCTGCCTTTATCTTCACAAGGTCTTCTTCCTCTGTGTGAGCCTGTGTCCAAATTTCTCCCTTTTATAAGGACACCAGTCATATTGGATTAAGACCCATCCTATTGCCCTGACTGCGGTGGCTCAGTTGGCTGGGCATCATCCCATGCACCAGTGGGTTGACGGTTTGATTCCCAGTTAGGGCACATGCCTGGGTTGCCTGCGTTGCCTGCTTGACCCCTAGTGGGTGACTTACAGAAGGCAGCTTATTGATGTTTCTCACTCTCTCTAAAAAAAAAAACTAATTAAAATATTTTTTAAAAAATACACTTTGAATTTGGCCATTCCTCACTGAGTATTCTGCTGCCTCTCCGGGGTGCTGTGGTGTTGCCTATGCCTCGACTTTCTCTGGAGGATGGTTTCCCAGGGGCTGCCCTCCTGGAAGTTCCCAGGCTTCTCCGGCTCATCCAGAGGGAGCTCCGGTTAGCCTTTCCCAGGGTGCTTTGAGCCACACCTCAGCTGCAGGGCACACGCTGGTCTCGCAGGGAGGACTCTCCCTGGCCCTGATGCTGCCCCCCAGCTTTGCCCTGCACCGCCCATCTCTGGGGAGTCATACAGAACTCTTCCTGGTCTCTTGTTTTGAGCTGTTGCCTTGACCTGTTTGGTTTGTGTGGGCAGGAAATCCCCCTAAGGGATTCCAGAGAATACTGCCTGCCCACAGTGAATTTTGGCTCCCCACTGACCAGCCACGTGGCACCGGGCAGATTACTGCCCCTGTTTCAGTTTCTTCATCTGTGAAATGGGGACAGTAAGAACACCTGTTTTGGGCTGTGAAACATTCATACAAAATAAGTGGTTGGAAAAGTACCTGGCCACTGTAAATGTTCCACAATGTGATGTATAGTATATAGTCCGTGTCATGTCAGTATCACTGCTGTGTGGTGACTCTTCACCTTTAGACCCCAAGTATCCCCGTCACTGCTGTGAACACATGGCAGGTACCCATTAAGTTTTTGTAGGGTAAATGAGTATGTGGGCACATTGAACAGACACAGGTGCTTGGTCACTGCCAGACTCATCGGAAACAAAAAGGCTCCCTTTGTCCATAATGCTCACAGCTCATTGGACTGGGTGGACAGAAAACAGACCTTGATTAGTCCTACTTATGAGGGTGAATTGCACACTGTGATCGGGGACAATGGTCTGAGAAGGCTTGTCAAGGGATGAGTGCCATCCAGAGGAGAGCTGGATTGGGAAATAGAAGATGGAGGCGTTGCCTGGGATGACTGATTGCACTGGCTGGGGTGACGGTTTGGCCTTTGCTCAAGGCTTAGAGGGAGGCCATTGGCAGATTTTGAAGAAGTGGGTTGGGAGTGAGCCAAGAGATGGTTTCAACTTTGTGAATTAAAGGGGGGCCATAGTGGAAGCAGCTGGACAACCAGCTGGAGGTGATGGGTGGTCCAGGGAGATGAGGAGGGGGAGGCTGGCTGAGGAGCCAGGAAGAGGTTGGACCTACCATGAAGCCAGAAGGTAAAGCTGTGGCTGAGCATGAGGTCAGCCAGGGAAGGCAAAGAGGAGAGGAAGGTCTGCTTCTGAGCCTTGGGGTGCTCCCATATTTGGCAGAGCCGTAGAATACCCTTTTCCAGTGTCCTTTTCTTTGTTAATCCTCACCTGAGGATATTTTTCTCATTAATTTTTAGAGAGGGAGGGGGGAGAGAGAGAGAAAAAAACATTGATGTGAGAGAGAGACACTGATTGGTTCTCTCCCTAGCGTACCCTGACCAGGGCCAGCGCTCTATTCACTGCGCCACACCAGCCAGAGGGATCCACACATTGTGTCTGTTCATCTGTAGATTCTCCCTCTACCATTTTTTTTCTTTGTAGTTTGTTGAGGAAACTGGGTCATTTGTCCTGTAGGTTTGATACTGGCTTTTTGCTGCTTCAGTCCCTGTGTTTTTTATTTAGCACGACCACCCTGCTTTATGTATTCTGTGTTGCTATGAACTTGAGTCTGCAGTTGAGATCTGCCTGGGAAGGTGGCATCAGTCTCGTCTGTTGGTCTCTGTGTGAGTGTGGGCAACAGATGACAGCAGCACCTGAATTACTGACTCAAGGGGTTATGGAACCGTGATGGGTCAGTCCTTATCCACACAGGAGCTGGAACATAACTGCAGCTCACCTCTCATCTTCTGTGTGGTTACGCTTATGGAGAGACCGGACAGATGCTTGAGTTTTCCTCCCCTTTATTTGCCAGTTTCAAACCCTGCTCCCAATCATGCTGTCCTGAAGGCTGGATATTATTTTTTCCCCAGAACATGGATCTGGGTTTGTTCTTCCTGAGCGTAACCTTTGGACCTCTCCACCCCAGGATGCAACACCCTCCAGTGACAGCCTTTCCAGTCACCTGCTGTCACTCCTCTCCATTTTCCCCTTTCAGCTTGCCATGTGACTCTCAGGGCTCTCAGAGAGGATGCTCTCCCCACCTCCTAGACCCTTTTTGACTTCACCAACTCAGTCATTCTCCAAATTTGTCACAGGGCCCAGGAGGTGTTCTTGGCTCCTCCCCTCCCCCCCAATGAGGGGTCAGGCCCTTCTCAAATTTCATTCTTTTGGCAAATACAGGGTACCTCCCTTGGCCAGCACCTGGGGGTGGGGGTGGGGTGGGAGTGTAAGACAGGAATCCCCAGAGCTCCTGCCTCCACCAGCTTCCCAGTTTGGTGGGGAGACATGCCATTTGTGACAAGTGCATTCCTAAGGGTGGGTATGGGGTAGTGCTGACAGAGGGGCACCTGCCATGTTTAGGGGCATAACAGTGGCTTACTACAGAGCATCTTTCTCCTCCTTGGCAAGACATTGGGAGACAACTGATGACCTTGGGCCAATGGCTCCGTGGTGTCAAGGCTGTCTAGCTGAGACTCTCCTGGCTTTCTCTGCAGTCCTCCCGTGGTTGACGCCACGTGGCCAGGCATTGCCTCACAAGGTTGGCAGGAAGAAAAGAGGTGCTGAGACTTTCCCCCTGCACATTACAGTATTTTTGATTTGGGAAGGAATCTACTCACAAATCCACTCCCGGTCTCTGGATTTGCCTGTTCTGGACATTTCATATAAATGGAATCACACAATATGTGGTCTTTTGTGTCTGGCTTCTTTCATTTAACAATGTTCATAATTTCATGGTTCATCGATGTTCAGTCCTTTTCATTGCTGAAAATGTTCCATTGCATGGATATATAACACACTTTATCTATCCAGTCATCGTTTGATGGACATTTGCCTCCAATTTTTGGCTGTTATGAGTAGAGCTGCTTTATCCCATTAATATTTGCAACAAACATTTGCAAATATTTCAGAGAGTCAGTGGAATTGATTTGGGAAGGAATCTACTCACAAATCCACTCCCGGTCTCTGGATTTGCCTGATCTGGACATTTCATATAAATGGAATCACACTGTGTGGCCTTGTGTGTCTGGATTCTCTCACTGAGTATCATGTTTTCATGGTTCATCCACATTGTAGCAAGTGTCAGAGCTTTACTCCTTTTTACGGCTGAGTAATATTCCATTGTCTGGATGGAGCACTTTGTATTTATCCATTCATCCATCAGTGGATGAACACTGGGTTGTTTCCAGTTTGGGCTGTTGTGAATCATGCTGCTATGGACATAGATGTCAAGTTTTTGTGTGGATATAGGTTTTCATTTATCATAGGTATATATCTAGGAGAGATATATGGGTCATCTAATAGGTATTCTATTTTAACTTTTTCCCAAATAGTTTTCCAAAGTGATGGCACCATTTTCCATCCTCACTAGCAATGCACAGGGATCCAGTTTTTCTTCACCAACATTTATTTTCTGGTTGTTGTTTTTAACAATTGCCATCCTAGTGGTCTGATTTTGATTTGCAATTTCCTAATGATTAGTGACTTTGAACATCTTTTTAGGTGCTTATTGGCAATTTATATATCTTTGGAGAAATTTCCCTTCTGGGTAAGGGGTGGGGTAGTAGAATCATGGACCTCAGAGCCTGCAATCAGGTCTCAGCACTGTCACTTAGCAGCTGTAGGTCTTTGAGCCTTGGTTTCTCCATTTGTTGGCTAGTACTGAGAGGGCTCAAGGGGCAGTGTGTGCATAGGGGCAAAAATATTTCCATTAACCCTCCAAAAGCATCATTCTTAATGATTTCTGCTTCTGTTGTGGAGACTGCTTTGCTGGGTCCTCTGCAAAGATGAGTTAGTTCATTTGGGGTAACTGGGTGGATGAGAAGTAGGCACACAGAGAGATGTGTGCCAAGCAAAGAAAAAAGAAAGGCAGGCTGGCACTGGGGAGCAGGCGTTCACCACTGTCCTGTAGCTGTGTCTCGTCCATCATCTGAAACAGACTTCCTTGTTTTCTTTATTTAAGGAGGAGCCAAGGAAGGTTTGCTTCACCTATGACCTGTTCCTGAACCTGGAGGGCAACCCGCCTGTAAACCACCTGCGCTGTGAGAAGCTTACCTTCAACAACCCCACCATTGAGTTCCGGTACAAGCTCCTGATGGCTGGCGGGGTGAGTGTGCCGGAGCAGGTGGGCCCTGCCCCTGCTCGAACGGATGCATCTTCTCTGTCATGGATCCATCTCTGCTCCCTGAACTGGGAACTTGGTGCTGGGGGCACCTTGGGCTCTCTCAGGCATGTCTTCAGCCTGTGGCTGGACACCTGATACTCAGAGGGGCAGGTTGCACAGGTAGCACCTGGCAGCACTGGATAGGACCCACGTATCCCAAGTCTGTGCTGGGATGTTGTCAGCTGGGAATAACTAGTTGCTAGTTATCCCTGTAGCTTCCTGGTTGGCTGTGATTAATTAGCATCTTCTTCTATAAAGTAGGGAGAGGGTGGGGGAAGGAATGGGTGTGAGACCAGCCTGTCAGTGTGGCGAGGCGCTGGAGCCAACTTTTAACCGTATTGGCAAGGCTGTGCTGGAGCCCCATCACCTGGGGAAATAGTAGTGGCTCTCTGCAGGGTCCTTGATGATGCATGCCACCTGGCAGTTCTGTCCTTGTGAGGCCAGATGAAGGTGTCAGCTCTCAGAACCTAGGTCTCGAGTGAGTCGTGTGGCCAGCGATCTTGGTATGATGGCAGAGTGCCAGGAGCATGTGTCAGCTCTTGGAGAATGGGGGTGGGGTGCTTGGTGCTGATGGATGATTGGCTGTGGAGGAGGCAAGACGCTTACCTGCAGGCTGGACTGTGTGTGCCGAGGGAGGTGGCAGGCTGAGGACACAGGATATCCCAAAGCCACCTGTTAGTGAACATTTGCCTTGCTGCCAGCGGTGCCTGCAGTGGAGGATTCAGGTCCAGGTCATGAGAGAATGTGTGTATGTGTGTGTGTGGCAGGCCCACCTCCCCAGTGAATACAAGGAGTTTGGGCTGAATTTCTTTGGGCCTAGGGAGAAGTCCTTTTCTCTTCATTTAATTTAGTTGTTATGTTTTATTTTAAAAAATGAAAGGAGTTATTTATTTATTTCAGAAAATTTGAGTAATTTCTTCCACGTTCCTAACAAAAGATTAGTCTGGGATTTGGACCTAGCATGTGATTACTAATGGAGGTTAGTAACAGAACAAGGGGTATTGGAATCTATTGACACAGACACTTGTGTGGAAGTTTGCCTGGGAGTTCTAAAAGAACCAAGGAAGTGGGGAGAAGTTTCCAGGTTCAGTATCCTCTTCAGCTCTGCCTCTCTACTTTACTTTCCAAAGTATTTCCCCGAGGTGTTACACAAAGGTTCTAAAGTCACATCTCAGGGAGACAGACACTCAGACAGTCAGCATTCCATGGGCCTCTTAGAGCTCCAGGACCAAGGGACCTCCCCCTGCATCAGGTTTTCTTTGCTCTGAAGAGATGAAGGCTTACTATGCATCATCTAACCCTATAAAACGGGAGGGGCAAGGGAGGAGGAGGAGGAGGCATGAGGCATTGAGGGAGAGAGGTTGGGATGGCAGGTCCGCCTTGCAGTTGGGGAAGGGCCAGCCCAGGAGAGAGGAAGGGAGAGGAGACCCTTGGGTGCTGGTGTGGTGGTCTCTGGGGGCACTTTTCATCCTTGCTGAGGGCTGCCCAGGAGCTGGTTGTCTGGTTAGGAACTTTCTTTCTTGCCCTTTGGGGCTTGCTCTGGGCTGATAGCAGAACAGTGTTCTCGGGTCTTAGGAGCAGCCTGGGAGCTTTATGGGACGGTTGCTCCCGAGACTTGAGTTGTGGCCCTTGTGTCAGCCAGTCTGGAGCTCGGAGAGTTCCCAGTGGGGCTGGCATTTACCATCTGGTGGCAGATGACCACAGACCCATCTGTGTTGACATTTGCTGGAAGAACAGGAGGACCCTTCGATCTGTGAGTTGGTGAAAACTGCTCTCTGTATCGCCCTCTGGGGCCATGAGCTCTGTGATTCTCACAGGAGGGTCGGATGCTGCCTCAGTGGTGACCGGAGCGGCAGACGGCCAGAGGCCAGCCCCGCTTGTCCCCTCAGCATCTTATCTCATCCTTTGCCCCGTCAGCTGTGAGGGCCTGTATTTCCATCGAGTGAGATGCGTCCTCATGAAGCCCCGTCCTGCAGGTGGAAGTAGATGCATTTATTCACTTAACTTTTTTTTTCTGAAAGATTGTTAAAGAAGGAGAGAAAGGTGCAAGGCCTTCACTACATTGTCTTGGCATAGCATCAGGATAGGATATTCCTGTGAAGGAGAGAAGAGAAATGAAAACAAAGGAAAAAGGCACTGTCTTCAAGGGAATGGACTCAGACCTCTGAGGGGACCTGTCTGTTCTCCCGGGTTAGGCTGTCACTTCTCTAACCTTGTGCATTGTCCTTGCTGGCCTTAGAGTGTGGTTATTTCCCAAGACCTGGTGATCCTCAGCCATGCTGGCCCAGGCCAGGCAGGTTCTGGGCGCTGGATTATAGTGAGACGGGCTCTGATGAGCAACTCGGCCTCTGGCCTCACTGCCTCAGACTCGGGGTGGGGGCTGGAGCGGCACAAAAGGCTCCACTGCCCTCCTTTCAACCCGGTGTCCCCGTGACCATGACTGGGCATCATCAGCTTCCTCAGATGAAAGGTTGAGCTTGTCAAGAATCCTAGGTTATTAAAGCTAAATCAGTCCTTCCTCCCTCCCTCCCTCCCTCCCTCCCTCCCTCCCTCCCTCCCTCCCTCCCTCCCTCCCTCCCTCCCTCCCTCCCTCCCTCCCTCCTTCCCTCCTTCCCTCCCTTTCTTTCTGTCTGTCTTTCTTTCCATGATCTTTATTCTTTTGTTCTGTTTTGTTGCCATCTGGAAGGCTCCGTCTGAGTGGTAGTGTGAACTTCCAGTGTCTATATTTTGAGAACTTGCCCTCGGGTTTTCTCTCCCTTCAGCAGGTGCCACAGGAGCCTCACTGGACCTGGGCAGGTGTTACCAGGAGCACCTCTTGGCAGGAGCCCAGATCCTTCCTCCTAGTAGTTAACAAAGGCAGAGCTCATGTCCCTCTCCTGCAGGCTCCAGTGAGGTGGCTTTGGCAGAGAACTGGGCCTGTCCCCGTGCAGTTTCCTCTTGCCTTGGCTTCGCTACTCGCTCCCTGTTTCAGTCAGCTTTATTCACCTGAGAGTGGAGGAGTGAGGCTCCCCCAGGAAATGCGGGACCCGGTGAAGTCATGACACACACGTCCCACAGAAGTTGCTTTCTCCGCCACATGCCTTCCCAGAGGGGTGTCTGCCTGGCTTCTCACCTTTATGCTTCTGGTCTTTCTTAACTGCAGCATGCAGGCCGCTTTGGCCACAGCTGCCTCCTTGTGCTTCTCACACAAATTGCCAGTCTTGGTGCCAGTCTTTTAGCATGGTGCCCTCCTCCCCGAGACTGTGCCAACTGCACCTGGACCCAGCCATCCTGGGACCCTGCTTCTCTTTGCTCTCCACCACGAGCCTGCTTCGCTCTGAGCACTCAGCAGCCAGACCTTCAGGAAATGCCGTGGACTCTTTGGGAAAGTGACGCTCAGGCTCTCCCTGGCTCCCTCCCCCAGAAGGAAGCTTGGACACCTCTAGCTGCACTCCCGCAAGCCAACTTCCTCTTACCCATCGGATTTCCAGCTTGCCTCCTTGCTCATTGATAACATCTGTCTCTTCTTTATCACTAGGTGATGGTAATGCCCGAAGGAGCAGAAACGGTGTCCAGGCCCAGTCCTGACTACCCCATGTTACCCACAATTCCACTCTCTGCCTTCTCTGACCCCAAGAAGACCAAACCATCCCACGGCTCCAAGGTTAGTGAGGTGGAAGGCCCTGTCACATGGGAGCACTGGGGCCCAGCAGAGGGTCCTGGGCTCAGGGTGCTCCCTCTGCAGAGCTGGGCTTGGTCCCTTGGCATCTTTCTCTTGGAGCTCTCTGTGCTCCCTGTGGCTGCTCTCTGCCACTTAGTCAGAAGGGTCGACCCCTCCGGGGGTGCATAGAACAGCCTGGTAATCACAGGCTCTTTATCCTGTTCCTCTTGAGGCCAGAGAGCCTGCCCTGTCATCCCGCCTCCCTCAGAGTCAGTGGGCTTAGAACCACTCAGACAGAACCCCAAGCTATTCTCACATGGTTGGGAGCTATGGACAGAGTGTCCACTGCAGCTACCACTGTCTACCTTCTCAGGTCTCCTGAGTGCAGCCAGGACACTTCGTCCATCAGGGCTGGTGCTTTCTCCGGGGCCTGTTCCAGGTTTGGCTTCTTTCTTTGGCAAACCTCCACAGAGAAAGCTTACTTGGGGGAAGAGCCAGGTAGAATCATGTGGGTGAGCGAGCTGATTTTCCCTAAGAAGAAACGCTTTATCATCCTCTCTCAGCCCCATCAGGTGAGTGGCATTCTGTCTTCCTGAGACCACTCTCTGAATCGTCCCAGAGTGGCTGCCAGAGCCCTTCTGGTGGTGTCATGATGTCCACATAAACTCCTGAGTGTTCGTCCCATTCCCCCGCAGCCGCCTACACAGCTCTGTGTCCCGGAGGCCAGGTTTCATCTGGCTCTCAGGGCAGCTGCTTGTCTTTCTGCCACCGACCCCACAAGTTTATCCACTTCTCAACTTTGCATTTTTCTCGTTTCACTCATCTGTTGGGTGTTGTGGGCCTGGGGCATCCCACATGGGACAGCTTGAACTCGCAGGCCAAATTACAGCCTTATTCATCAGCAGTGCTGGAGGAGAGCGACATTACCCAGGCAGAGTCTTTCTGGCACTTTCCCCAGGCCAGTGAGTCTCTGAAATCCTCATCCGACTTAAGCCCTTAAATATGGAGCGCAGTCTGAAGGCCGTCCCCATGCCAACTTTCTGGCCCATCTTTCCTGAGCCTCATGGACATCAAATGGAAGAGAACTTCTTGCTAGAGATCTTGGCAGTTTCTCTTTCAGCCGCTCAGTTGTCTGGAAGTCCATGCAACCTAGGAAGGGTAGAAATTGTCATTTCTTCTGTATGTGTCATTTGTGAGTCAACCAAAACCTCATGAAGAGATGCCCTGCAGGTAGTGAGGACACTCTGGTGGCCAGTGGAGTTGCATCTGTTGGAGTTGCTCATGTCCTCTCTCACTGGAATGCCTTTGTGACCACCCCAGGAGTTCCCAGGCCAGATGGGCATATCTGCCAGGCTCAGAGGCCTGTAGGCAGTGTCCCTGGTCTCCACCCCTCCGTGTCCCAGAAACTTTCTTCAGCCACATGGGTGGTGTATTTTAGGAGGCTCTTTTGTGAGTTTCTCAGGCAGCACAAGGCAGATTCTTCTCTGCTGCAAGCCCCCTCTGCCTGTTGTCCTCCCTTCTGAGCCGTTAGCCTCACCTGCTCTTCTAGGAGGGTAGAACCTGTGTGCCAACGTCTTCCTCCAGATGAGGACCTCCTTTTGGGTACTGGCTGTACCACCCAGATTGGTTCTCTGCTGCCTAGACCCAAAGAGTCTGATTGCCAGGTCTCATGCTCCAGGCAGAGGAGACAGAGGGAAGGGCTTGGTCATGCAGGGCCTTGCTTGTCAGGGTCCCCAACCTGGAGGCTGCTGGAGAGTCTGGCTTTTGGAGCCCTAGGCAGATTGGTCACTGGTGATCTGTCCCCACCTCATGTCTCCTCAGAGGATAGCATGGAAGGCAGGAGTTGGAGCCTCCGGGCAGATGGGTGGGGCTCCTGAAGGCTCATATTTTGAGGATGGTATTCCTTTTAGTCCCCACCTCACAGCACCCCTGGATTTTCATACCTGTAGCTTCTCCCTGTCTGACATCAGACAGTTGGCCTGGATGACCTTTCTTCAAAACTTGGTTCTTAGACATTTTGCTTCATTGATGGCTTTGAGAGCGTGACTGTGAACGATCACATTACTCTCGGAGCTCTGTGTGGTTTCAGGGAGCCTGCTCTCCAGAACCTGTGCAGACCCCCAGGTAAAGAGCCGCTGCTAGGGAGGCCCTACTTGCTGGGCAGACCCTGGGCGGCAGTGGAGGCTTGTCCGACCCCCAGGTCTGGGGGGCCCGGTGGGAACTGTGCCGAGGCCTTTGACAGATGTTTATTGGGTGTGCTTTTGCCCTGCCTGTTCGGGCTGGGGCCGACTCCTATAGCCTGGGGTGTGTATAGATATTTCGAGAAGAGGCTGGAATCACATATGAGGTCTGCTTCTTGCCTCCCTCCTCAGCCGATTGTTGGAGAGAGGAGTCCCCAGGGACTGACCCCATTCCACACACCAGCCCCAAGGGAGATGCCCCTTTAGATGGTCAGCTGGGGCTTGTGTTATGAGTACCCCTTCCCACTGCCCTGGAGACAGAAGAGCCAGGTCCAGGGCACAGGGGCTGATGTTTCTCCAGGGAGGCAGCAGGAGCCTATGGCCACACAAGGCTGTCCCTGAACCTTTGACACTGATGTGGGTTATGGATTTGCAAGAAGACAGTGAACAAGTAGATCTGAGGTGGTCAAGACTGTGCCGCCTGTCCTTGTAGCTCTTTATTGTGAGAGTCTGTCAGGTGGGCTGGGAGAGCAGGAAGTAGAGGCCCTGCTGCTGGGCATTTAGCTGGCTCACCCATCCTCTTAGCACATAGGGTGAGCTGGTAAAGTGTGGCTGCCTCGGGTGGTGCATGCCACTCTCAGGGTCTGGCTGCTGTTGATTTCCTGGTGAGCTTTGATCTGGAGAACCGCTGAGCCCAACTGTGCACCTGGCTGACTGAGTTGGGGGCAGAGCCCTTAGCAGCTGGGCACCTGTTCAGCAACCCTGGACATGTGGGATGTTGAAGGGGTTTGACAGGCAGGAAGCAAACAAGGTGTCAGGCAAGGCTTCTACCCAAAGGGTACGCTAACTGTGTGTGGGGTGGCTGCAGCCGCCATGATTGAATGCTTGCTGTCAGCCAGGCCCCTGTACCATCGCTGGCGAGGTAGGTGGTCTTACCCTTGTTCAGAGGAAGTGTGGGCGCACAGGGTTGGTGTCCCCTCGCCCAGCTTTCCCAGCAGCCTGGAGCAGGGCTGCTTTCTGCCTCTGTCCCTAGCCAGAGTTCCATGACCTGGCTGAGCCACCCTGAACCCTCTGAGTTTCCCAGGAACTGTACACATTATAGAAAAGCTGTCCAGGTGGCTTCAGTTCTGTCAGGAGTCGTTGGTCCTGCGCAGTGCCCTGAACCCAGCAGCTACTCAATGAATGCTGACTGTGGATCAAAAAACCATTATGCCTGGCAGGTTGCCCTGCTTTGGGGCGACCAGGCAGGAGGCTTAGTGGCAGGGACAGAAAGGAGCCTGTCTGCTAGCGCCCCCAGTGGGAGCTGCGAGGTGTCCGAGCTGGAGCGGGCCTGTGTATCTGTCTTTCTTTGCCGACTCACTGTGCTGTTCTTGAATCCCTCAGGGAATGTCAGTTCAATTCAGAGGGGAGTCTTAGCCTGCAGTCGCCTGGGACCTGCTGACACTTCCTAGTAGTTTAAAGGGACAGCTCCATTTAAAAATCTCACCTGCTACCTTACTTCTTTGCTTTTTGGAAGATTTTCTCTAGCTGAGTCTGAATCCAGGTGGATTATACTTTGTAAGGGTTAGGGGCAGTGGAGCAGGGCGGCCTGAGATGCCGTTTGACTGTGTCTTTCTCCCTTCCCACCCGACATTTCAGGACGCCAGCAGGGAGAGCGGCAAGGCCTGCAAGGCCCATAAGACAGCCAAGGAGCACCGGGAGCGGCCCCGCAAAGACTCGGAGAGCAAAGGCCCCTCCAAGGAGCCAGAGCGTGAGCAGGCCCGGAGTGCCAAGGATGCCTCACGGAAGCTGGTTGAGGGCCGGCCACCCAAGGAGGAGAAGGCCCCGCCACCCAAGGCTGCATTTAAGGAGCCTAAGATGGCCCTAAAGGAGACCAAACTGGAGAGCCTATCCCCCAAGGGTGGTCCCCCACCACCACCACCATCTAAGTCTTCCAGCAAGCGGCCAGCTACCACTGACTCACCCAAGCCCAGTGCCAAAAAGCAGAAGAAGAGCAGCTCTAAGGGGTCCAGGAGTGCCCCTAGCACTTCGCCCCGCACCTCATCCTCCTTCTCGGACAAAAAGTCGGCCAAGGATAAGGGCAGCACCAAAGTGGAGAAGATCAAGGCTGAGAATGAGCCCCGGGAGATCAAAAAGCCCCCAGAGGTGGAGGAGTCCAACTCGGAGGACGAGGCCTCCTTCAAGACAGAGGTGAGGTGCCCCTTTGCCCCATCAATCCCTTATCCTCTTTTCTGGCTCTTTGAACCCCCTGTCCTTATCAGCTTTTCTGGCTTTTTGCCATTGAAAGCCTTGTTAGCCCAAACGTTAGACGAGGAGATTGGGATCTCAGCCCCAGAGCTCCCTTTGCTCTTTGTAGCTTTGGGCATACCTGAGCACCTCGCTAAGCCTCAGTTTCCCCTTCTGTCAAGGATGATAAAGCCTGACTCTGAGGTCTCTGTGGAAATGGTGCTTAGGAAGGATGGCTCTGGTAGAACATGATGGTCTGGTACCTGGGTTCCGAGCTCTTTACCGTGGAAGCCCCTTGCATGGCCCAGGGTCTTGGTGGCCAGTTGGGGATCAGGGTGGGTGATTGTGTCTTACTGTTGTCCCTTCCTCAGCCACCACATGGTTGGTCTGGAAGCTTAATGCTGGCTCCATTCCCAGATGGCCGTTGGAGTCCGAGGGCCCACCACCTCTGCCACCCATCCGCTGTTGCTCATGCAGCGTAGACACAGGGATCTTGAATCAGCAAGACTTGTCTTCTAAGCATGGGCCAGTACCCCTCTCGCTGTGAGAGGCTCTGGGCTCCTGCAACAGTGTTTCCAGGTGGTTCTCTGAAGATGGCTGTGAGAGACCCCTTGAATCCCAGAGGAGCACATAGCCAGACTGCTAACTGGGTGGCCAGACCTCCCTGGGGCCTTGCGGGGTGATATCATCTCTGAGACTGTGTTTGGCATCTGGTGGTCAGAGAACAGGTGCCTGGGTGATGGTCGAATGGATGAATGGGTGGATAAATGAGGAGTGACCCCCTTACCTGAGGCACCGCCCCCATGCCTGGTGACCTGTGCTGTTTCCAGATCTCCATTCACTCCCAGAGGCTGAAGTCTGCCTGCAGCATTGCTGCTGGGGCTCCACTGGGGCTTTGAAAGTGGCTCCGGAGATGAAGCTAGAGCTGTTTTGTGTCAGCAACACCATGTCATGAGCATGTGGCTTCCAGGGGTATTCCGTTGGAGGCAACAGCATTGGGGGTGACGATTTGGTCCATGGGTAACTGGCTTAGGGACATGGGACCAATCATGCTGCACACCCAGCGCTCCTCACAGCCAGGAGACAATGAGCCTAAGGCGGCAGGACTTGGAACATCTCTTATTTAGAAGCCTCCTGGCCATTCAGGGCCATTTCAGTATCCTGCTCAGCTGCTGCAGGTTCTTTGGGTGCTCAACAGAGAGCTCTGACATTGCAGGGAACCTGAGTTGCCGCCTCCTGCTTAGCCGAGAGGGGGTTGAGGGGCTCCTTGTCTGAGTCCCTGGGCCAAGCCCCCAGCTCCTCCAACTGCTTCTCTGTGGTCTCTTTGGCCCACAGGGTCCTTTTCAGTTAGGGGCCAGGAGTGCTGAGAGCCCGCTGGCCCCTCTGGCCCCTGCTGGACATGGCATGTGGCTGCACAGCGGCACTCATCAGCAGCACTCAGGACTCCTTGTGGGCTTTCAGATGCACACCTCTAGGCCCTTTGGGCTGACATTATTTCTGCCCCTTGGATTTGTGTGGAAAGAAAAGGGGCAGTGCATCTGAGGTCGGCGGACTTGCTTGCCACCCCTCACCCCACACAGGTGCTGGAGCCACCTCTCATGGCTCCTACTTCCCCATCCTGCAGCCCTGAGCCTACACACTGGGTGGCCGCCACCTGGGTCCAGCTCCTGCCTTGGCCCTGCTTTTTGTGTCAGCCTTACAGAACCTGCTGCTCATGTCCTCTGCCCAGGGGGTCTGTCCATATTCTCTGCCCCAGATGGCAGAGGCACAATGGGCATTGGCCACCATGGGGGGCCGCAAGGCAGCTTTTAAAGAAAAAATATTTTTTTAATGATTTCAGAGATAGAAACATCAATGATGAGAGATTCATTGATTGGCTGCCTCCTGCATGCCCCACACTAGGGATCGAGCTCACAACCCAGGCATGTGCCCTGACCAGGAATCAGACCGTGACCTCCTCATTCATAGGTTGATGCTTACCCACTGAGCCACTCTGGCTGGGCTGCAAGGCAGCTTTTACAGATGGGGGAAACTGAGGTTTAAAGCCAGGGCGGCCTTGGCCAGTTGGTGACAAACCCAGGGTCAGAACCACGACCCCTGAACCAGAATAAGAACTCAGGTCTGAATGCTAGAGGGCCACTTGTCCGCAGGCCCATGGCTGAGATTTGGGGGTGTCACACTGGTCTGTCACAGTGGGCAGTGGTTGATGGTAATCTAGGATTCTCCGATGTGAAGGCATGTGTGTGGGGGTGGGGGTGGGGGGGTGCTGTCAGCAGATGCCTGGAGCAGGTGGTTTAGGCCGAGGTAAACTAAAGAAGAGGCCCCTTAACTCTTCAGGTGACAGTGTTCTGTCCCTAGGTGGCCTGATTACTCTCTGAGTCTATTGAGTGAGCAAAGACTTGTGCCTTCCTAGGTCCCCTCTGCAGCCTGGGAGCTGCCCTCAGCCCCCCAGACCATCAGGAGGGACTTTCCTGATCCCTTGGGAGTCCGGGACTCCTTTCCTAGGGTTTCCTCTCACACGACACATGGCAGGACTAAGCAAATGCTGTTAGGTGCCTCTGCCTGTTTCCTGGTCCCTTCTCTTGAAAAGGGGAGTTGTCCAGAGGTGGCTGGTCCCAGCGCTCAAGGTGTTCTGTTCCTCCAGATGGTCCTCCCCAAAGCAAGAGGGCTAGACAAGCCCCAGCCCAAGGGCAGCTTGCTGGGGGTGAGGCAGCCTCCCAGGTGTGTGGGGTGCTCTGGGCTAGGGTGGACTCTTGGAGCTGTGAACTTTGCCCTTCTGCCCTTCAGAGTCTGCCATAGACCCATGGCTTGCTCTGTTATGTGCACCTTCAGAACTGCCTGTTGGCAGAAACTAAGGCCCCTGTTCTAGCTTAGCGCTCCATGCAGCAAGGCCAGAGGCCCCTTCCCTGAAGGGATCTGAAGTGACCAGTTCCTTACACCCAGGGAGGTGCAACCCCCAGTCATCTTACCCCATGTGTCCTAGGGCCTAGGGTGGAAGGTTGCAGGAAGAAGTGGGGGATGTGACCTGGTTGAGTCCACCCTGTCCCCTACTGCTTGTCACGTGGCACATTCATCATTACCTCAGGGCACGTGGTGGGTGATGGCAGCATGGGGCAGGGAGACGAGCAGATAGCTTTTTGTCATCACTCAGCCTCGGGACTGGCTGTGGGGAAACAAGAGGCAGAATGAGAAGCTGGGTCTCTGCACTCACTGTTCCTGTTCCAGATCTTTTCTCTGTTCCCTGTGGCGCCATAGCGCCCATCGCCAGCTCTTGCCCTCATAGGAGGAAGGCAGGGCCCACAAACAGATGTGCTCCCCAACCCCCTTTCATGGACAACTTGGTTCCCTGTCCTCCTGCTGAGGTGCATGGGAAAACCAGTGACTTGTTGAGAGCTTCTCCTGGAACTACTAGAAATTTAAAGATCCTCAGTGAGAAAAGATGGGCCATTGCATTTGAAATGCAAACTGGTGGTGTCCTGGGGCTGGGTGCCTACGGACTCAGGAAGCCATGTTCTCAGAAGTGTGTGCAGGGGTCCTCCTGTGTGCCTTGAGCCTGGCACCTTTGTCACCTTTTGAGTGCGTATCTGGGGACAGACTCAGCTGGGTGTCATTGCTGCCAGGGCGCATTTCTTGTCCACTCCTTTTCCTTGGACTGAAAGGTTATTCTTGTCTTCTCTCCCCCACTGTCCCACCCCACCCCCGTTTTGGGGTGAAGTCCGCCCAGTCGAGCCCATCCAACTCCAGCTCCAGCTCTGACTCCAGTTCAGATTCGGATTTTGAGCCATCTCAGAACCACAGTCAAGGTGGGTGATGACAAAGGAAAGACAGGATGTTTCTGTGGCTTACTGCTGTGGGGGTAGCCTCTGACTCCACCTGGCTGGTGGGGTTCTAGGTTTGTTATCCAATCACAGGGACTTACAAGCAGTTTCCCGTAACTTCTGTGGGGGCTCACTCCATGCCTGAGCTTCAGCTGCTGCCACTGCCAGAAAAACCCATTGGTGCCTTACCCCCAGGGAGGGGGTGATGAGGAGGGCCTAGAATGAGGGGGAAGGTGGGGATGATGGGGGAAGCTGGGGTGAGGGAAGTGAGGGATGGAGGGCAGGGCAAGAGCCATGGGCCTGAGCTGAACACCCTGGGCATTTCTTCAGTATACTCCTGCTTACCCAGACTGGGCTCCCAGATATCCACATTTGTAGGTTGTAGACCTTCAGGAAGTGTATAAAAAGAAAAGCAGAAACAGTTCACCTGACGGCTAGCCAGGTGTGGGATATGTCACTCCTGGTGACCTACCCCTGAGCCTCAGGACACACTGTCTGTATGATGAGGGCTTGGCGATGTGCTGATGAGGTGCTGGTGCTTGCGGGCCAGTGGAGAGCAGCCCCTTTCTGATTTGGGCCCTATCCATAGCCAGACCCCCTCCTCGCCAGCTCTCTCAGAGGGAGGCAGGCATCAGTTCCTTGCCAGCCCTCCCACCCTGTCCCATTAGAGGACAGCTCCTGGATCAGGG